CAATGACCGGTTTGTTTTTGACATAAAGGCAAAAGCACTATTTCATAAAGATTCAGCCGGCCCCATTTATATTCATAACATGAGCCGTGCGAAAAAAGGTTTGCGCTTTCTATACGACCCTTCTTCCAGAACAATGGCCAGTCCACCTTCGACCTTACTGTTTACTTATCCAAAGGATATTGTTATTATACAGATGCCCTTTCCTGCTACAATTGACCCGGTAGGCTTTGCAAAGATGCATCATATCAATGCGGCAAATCTGTTGAAAATAATACCTTATAAAGCCATTCATGAGGTTAAGATCATTCCCTGGCATAAGACCCGGTATTCCAAAAATATCCAGCAATCAGCTGAGCAGAAAAAAAATCACAAACAACAGCCTGCAAAAATTAAACGGGCGCGTTCAGGCAAACGTTCTTTAAAGATGTAGCGCTATGGTGCAGTATAGTATAAATAAAGGCATCAACAAGGCTATGGAGTTTCGGGGACTTAAAGGTCAGTATATCTACTACCTGGCTGTGGGTCTGGCCGTATTGCTGATCGCCTTTACAATAATGTATATAGCAGGGGTACCTGTGTACCTGTGTGTGCCGGTGGTTGTGTTGGCTGGTTCTGGTTTGTTTTTGTTGGTCTACCGGTACAGCAACAAGTATGGTGAGCATGGTCTGTCCAAAGCCCTTGCTTACCGGCAGGTACCCTCTGCTATTTTATTTAAGTCCCGAAGTGTGTTAACGAAGCTAAATGTGAAGAAAGAAGATGATGGTGATAATGATTTTAGCAGGAGTGGTTTTAGCCGCAGCGCTTTTACAAATTAAACAGCCACCTGTTCAGGATCAGCAGGCAGGTGAACTGCTGCCGATCTGGAAAGTGGAGAAGGATTGCATATTGTCAAAGAATGGTGATGTGACCATTGCCTACAAGCTTGCTTTGCCGGAAATATTTTCTTTGTCCACGCAGGAATACGAAGCCTTGCATCATACCTGGCTTAAAGCGATCAAAGTGCTTCCGGCAGGTTGTATCCTGCATAAGCAGGACTGGTTTCTTCAATCCAGATACCAGGCGGAATTTAAGCATGACCACAGTAACACCCTGGCAGGCGCTTCTGAGCGTCACTTTAATGAGCGGCCTTTCCTGGAACATGAATGCCTGTTGATGTTGACCATAAAGCCAGCAGCCCGTAAGGTCAGCAGTTCCGCATATACCAACCTGCTGCGCAGGCATATTACGCCTGTTGACAGTATAGACAGCAAAATTGTTCAGTCGCTGCTGGATGCTGCCGGGCAGTTCGTGCGTATCCTCTCAGATAGCGGGAGCCTTAGTCTTGAACGGTTAGATGCTGATGCTTTATGTGGTACTTCAGGTAATCCAGGCTGGATAGAGCGCTACCTCTTTCTCACCGGTGGCAAAGCTAGTCCTGTGTTAAAAGATATTGTCTTTAAACCGGAATGGAAAATCGGTGAAAATTTCTGCCAGTTGTATTCCCTGTCCGATACTGAATACATGCCGGAAACCTGTAGCCCCCGTGTGAACTACGATAAGTATTCAACCGATAAGACCAAATTTTCTGTTGGGTTTGCAACACCGTTAGGACAGCTTCTACCGGTGAACCATATTTACAACCAATACCTGATCATTGGAGATACCAACAAAACATTAAGACGACTGGAAGCGCGTCGTAAGCGTCTTCATTCCTTATCGGCCTACAGCCGCGAAAACAGCATCAGCAGGGATGCCACAGCAGATTTTCTGAATGAAGCCATCGAGCATTCAAGGACGCCGATTAAAGCGCATTTT